TGTGACTTTTTTGATTTGGAATACATAATTGTAGGCTAATTCTTGAAAAAGTGAAAGCATGTTTAGCTAAGTGTCCATGTGTGCCTATAATATGTGTTATTGTTCCAAAATGAGGCTTATTATAATGGTGAGTATTACGTTAAGAAAATAAATTTGTGGAATGGCTTCCTATTTTGTTGTGATGTACTTGGTGTGACTTGACACTTAGACTTCACTAGGAAGAAAAATATAAGCATGTCTTTGTTTGAAAGTTGAGATTTCTCATTTTTTTAAAAAAGAAATTGACATTGTACTTAGCTAAGGTGTGAACTCATGATACATATAAGTGTGTTGAGGAGCAATACATTCCTCCATGAACAATATTAAGCATCGTATGGTTGAGTAGGACCTTCATGGTACTATGTCTAACTAATGAAGATCATTGTTATTTAACTCAAGTTTATGTGCATTGAAGTATGAGTACTTAAGTATATTTTAGTATGAGTTACAATCTGCCTATGAGTAGCTTTTCAAGATTTTTTTGTAATGAATTGATATTTAATGATCATGTTATGATTAGGAGAAGGATGTTCTCCTTTGAACATGAAAAGGACCTTTGTGTTTGATGCATTAAAGAGTGAGTAAGTAATAGTTTCTCTTGCTTTTGTGCATTGAGTGCTAAAATTATTTGATGATATTTTAAATGTTATGAACTTCTCTTATATGCATTGAAGTCCTTGTTGTGATTAAAGAGCCTTAAGTGTCATTATCCTAACATATTTTTCTTAAATTTATTATTTTATAAATATTCTTAAAATATAGTATATAGGAAGTATCTAAAATATTAAAGGTACCGGAAGTCGAACATTAAGGGACGACTAAGACGTTCGACGACTAAGTCACCTAGATGTCTAATATGTGGTTCTTTGTGTTTATGGGTGTTTCATTATTTTATAATGTTCTAAAATGTCTTAATATATGGTCTAGAGTCAGTGTGCAAAGTTGGAAGTGATTTGGAAGTCGAACGTCAAGGGATGACTAAGACGTTCGACGACTAGTCGCTTATGTGTCTCATGTGTCTATGCATGACTAAATCTTCATGAAATGATTTTAATAAGTCTTAAAATGGTTTAAAATGATGTTTACTGGTTTTATATAAAGTTTCCTGAAGTTTGAAGGTCAAACGCCCAAGAACGTCCAAGGCGTTCGAAGGATAGCCACTAAGACGTTCATCGTATGTCATGTTGGGGCCAGGGCTGTTTGGACGTCTTATAGGTGTTTGTTTGGGAAGAAATATATGTGGAAGGTCTATAAATTGTTGATATTTATAATAATATTATAAACATCCGGGTACGACTTCTAAAGAGCCCCAAAAGAAGGACCCAAAGCTGCCTAAGACATTACTTGGGCAGCGTCCATTGAAGGACCCAACGACGGATCGTTGGTCCACCCATGGACCTTCGAGAAGGTATACTCTAGGGGACTTGACTTGGGCAGGTATAAATCCCATATTTGTCTAAGTACCCAACGATGGAGGCCAGGCACGGCCCCTCAAGGCCACGGCGCCCCGTCACTACTTTCATCAAGGGTGGCCTGCAACTGGTAGCCTGCGTCTGTTTCATTAAAGGGGTGAATGAGAAATTCACCCCACGTCCTAACCTGACTACAATAGGTTTTTTTAGATATTTTTGGGTGTATATAAGTCATCAAAAACGTGATCACCCCATTCTAGAATCCTCTCACAAGATTGAAACCTTTCCCTCCAAAAATACTCCCTCTAGAAACCACCATTGTTGGTGAAGCTCAAGAACAGATTCAAACTCGTTTTCCATGGATGAATAATCAATTTTTAGAGGTTTCAACTAGACAAAGGTATGGTTATCTTCATCTCTAGTTATCTTTTCATCTAGAGAGCCATTCTTAACGATTTCAAAAGAGAAAAATATGATCAAGTACTTTCTTCTTCAATCTTCCATGGATTCTTTCCTAAACTGATTTCAAAGGAATAATATGAATGTATTGATCATTATATATTTATTTGGAAATGATTTTCAATCCAATTGAATGATGAACCCATGCTCTATCACCAAAATGATTTAGCCTTGCATGGGCCTTATGATCTTGATTTGTTATCGATTGAATTAGGATTATATACGTTGAAGTGATTGTATATGCTGTTATTTACATGAATTTATGTTGAATTGATTATGATAATTGTATGATTATTTGAACATGAATAGACTATGTTTCTACATGTTGCCTTGAAGAAAGTCTTGCATGAATTGATCTAGATTTCAAGGCTATGAAGTCAAAAAGCTAAGTGTCTGATGGATCTTGAGTTGTTGTTATATCAAGCATGGTTTATTCTTAATTTCCTACCGAATTAGCTACTGCCTAATGACTGTTTTGTTTATAAAATATGAATTATTATCAAAGCATTAGAGAGTTCATAGTAATGGTAAAGTCTTTTAAACACTAGCAAATCGATAAGCCTAAATACCTATGTTGTAACCTTAATCTTGAGGGTATGTAATTATGATTTCAGTAGGGTTAAATGTAGGTTTAGATACTGCCTTAGACTCATAATATGTATGAAATATGATCTAAATCAATGCAAGGTAAATTAGCTAATGATCTATGTTATTCTACTTTCCTACTATGTTTATGTGTTGTATTATGTTATAGTATAATCTTGTAGCAACTTGTACATGGTTTCTTATGTGTTTAAAGTACATTTATATACTTCCATAGATGTGAATTATTGATGAATAAGTAGTATTGATCAATGATGATCAAAGTGTGAGAAATTGGTAAGAATGCTTATTCTCTCTACTCTTCTACTTCTCTATTTCTTTATAGTAATGTTGATGAAGCCTTGTATGATATTGTGGGGTATGGCCCACTTATGGTGGTGGTGTTTACTTTATTGTCATTATATATGTATTGACCATGGACTTGAAGGCAAATTGATGAATATATGATTTAGAGATTTAGATGATCACCTTATGATGTAATTGTGCCTATCTTGCTATCTAGTTGTGATCTAGGTTGTGTGGCTATTATATGAGCATGCGTATATTTATGTTAGGGTATTTTATAGGTGCTTCCATTGATCTGTTAAAATGGTTAATAGCCCTTACCCATGTACCTCTTATATGAAAGTGTAAATAGCTAAAGTTAGGAGCCTCAGTTATAATGTTTATATTGTCTTGCCTCCTATGCTATTATGTGTTGTGTGGTATGTTCTTGGAAGTATAATGTGGTATAAGAGGATGGATGCCTCAAGGAGTAATTGATATCCATTATTTGATCATGTTGACCAATGTACACACACTCTTATTCACATGCATATTACAAGTAGTATAGGTCATGGTGTCTAAATGAAAAGTTGTTCTCATATTCATTAATGTCTACTAATATGCATTTAAAGTAAATGTATGTGAAGTATGTTATGTATTCCTTACTAGGATGACTTTATAGGTGTACTAGTATGGGAAAGGGTAGTGGACTTTGCCTATGCATTGCACATGTGTATCTTGTTAGGATAGTTCTAGTTTTGGTTTCTATATGTATGAATATGTATGTATGAACTTGTTTGACTTAATGTGTTATGTGAAAGGTTTGCTCACATATATGAATACACACACACATGTAGGAAGATCTAGTCAAGAGAGGGGCCTTGGATGGTGTATTCATGTGTACCCTAAACTAGATAGTGCTAATACATATGTTATGTCCATGTGAAAGGATATTCTTACATGATTTAGGTTGATGAACTTTCATCTATAACCTATGAGCTAATTATATGAAGGGATGACTCTCCTAAGCCTATGTTTTTTTTATAATTAAATGTTAATGAAGGCTTTTTCAATAAAGGGAACTTAGTTTAGCACGAGTGACCTTGTATATGAGTGTTTGTCCCTTTCCAATGTGGGATGGTAGGTTTACTATAAATCCCATTGGGTGGATAGCCTAATGACCCAACATAGGGTGTAGAGTTGATGTTTCCATTAATTCCCCAAGATTCATAAACTATGTTGCCACCATAGGATACTAGCTAGTGGATCCACCTAGAAAGCTATGTCATGTAGGTTTTACTTTCGCCGGTAGACCACCTTTTTTTGGTGTGGGGTTTCATGACACCGGATTCCATGATTAGCATCACATAGTATGTGTCGGTTAAGGCTATAGTTTCCCTAAAGTAAAATGGACAATGGAAGTTAAATGACTAGGACCCTAAATAGAATGACTTAAGGGAGGTTACTTAGGATAGGTGTAAGTAATGACCCCATCTAGACATTGCACAAGTAGCTCCTTAGGAAGTTCTAGGAAGGTGTTCTAGTGCATGTCACTATGTATGTGTTCCTTATGCATGACATTGTAGTATTTGTATAGTTGTTATGAAGATGTGCATGATATGAGTCTTTATGCATGATGTTGATCTTGTTGACTATATGATGAAGGTCTTGACTTAACTATGTCTATGTGATATTATACTTCTATGATGGTATGTGTTTTTCTATGATGTTTGGCCTTTGATTGTGTTTCTATGAAGTATGAAAATGGTGTATATATATATATATATATATATATATATATATATATATATATATATATATATATATATATATATATATATATTATTGATAAAGGTTTTATGATGATTTACTCAAAATGGCATAAAGTATGATTTAAAAGAAAATGTCCCTTTTAAATGCATGGTTGTCATACTTAGTACATTCTTATGCTAATCCCATTCTTCTCTAATTTTTACACAAAGTGTAGGTTATGGATTCTTAAAGGATGTCTTGAATGGTGAAGAGCTTGATAGATGATTCCCAAGCTCAATGAAAGGAATCCTTAAGTTCAAGGATCTCCTACTAATGTCTCTAGTGTAAAGTCTTTAAATATTGTATAGTTGGTATTATGTCTTAAGGGTCGTGTCCCTAATGTAATCCAAAGTTATTGAGTCTATGATGGAAAAGAGAACCAGAGTCTATATATGTATTATGACTTATATTTTATATGTATATGAAGTAAACTTTCTTACATAATGACATTCTCAAAATATCATGTGGTAGAAGATTGTGTTTTATCGCAATTGTTGTCCCTACCATTTCACGTATCTCAAAAAGAGCAAAAATATAAGATTAGACGCATACAACATATCTTGTCAACACAAACACAGATCACAACAAAGCACATAAAAATGAATAAAAAAAACAGAAACAACTGCATGTAATAAAACTCAAGAAAGTAAACAACAGTTCATTCTGCTTGGTCATTAAGCTGCCTTATTGAAAAATCACTAGCCATCTTTTTGGCTCATGGATGGACTCAACGACGAGTATCCCATATAGTTACGTATACAACAAGCAAAATAAAGTTCTAACAAATTTTGGTGTATCAAATAAAAGAAGATACCAATGTATTTTGCAGGATCCATAAGAAGGACATTAATAGCCACCCCAATTGAAATGTGTACATCAACGCAAATGAGAATCTTGGTAATGCAACTACAATACATTTCTTCCTTCGGATAGACAGATCCTTGCTTACCAAGCGGCACCTTTGTTCAATGGACAAGTATCCAGGCGATATAAATATTTTTAGCAAGTTGCAGAGTGTTCCCTTTTAAAACGTTTTACAAAGAATGAACAGGGCAAAATGATAATCAAACAGAATTACTTGATGTAACGTGAATGACTCTCCACAAATGGAAACTTCTACATAATTAATGTCGAGCAAATTCTCCAATTTTTCACAATGACGGTGAAAAATTCTTCGGAAATGAGCAGAGTTAAGTTTATCTCTTACATCGGATTCATGGAGCCATCTTGCTTGAATTGGTATAGCAGAATTGAGATCCTTTGAATGATTAACTTTCTCATTACAGTTGCCTTCTGTATTTTGATTTTCAGCCTCAACAATCGTTAGAACCCCCTGCTCTTTACCAATTTGTTCTCCATCACACTCCTCAGACCCAGATATTTCTTTCTCACTAGAGGGCCTCCCTTTTTTTAAGAGACTATCATTTTTTAACAAGATTCTGGCAGGAGATTGTTTCCTGTACTTGGATCGTATTGTGTAATTGTGGAAAGGATGTTCTCCCTGCAACACAAATCACAAACAACAAGTCAAGAGAGCAGAATCATTGTCTTTTATCAATGGAAAACGACTAGATATCATAAAATGAAATCACTCATCCATTGAATTGGCAAGTAACATTTTCTAAAGTTTCGTGAACTATCCAAGTGAAACCTAATGTCAGTCCTTTTAGACTAATATAAAGAATAATTCTTTTATTCTATGACAAGGTTAACCAGCAGCCGCTACTCTTTGGGTGCACAACGTAAAAAATCCTCTTCTAGGCAATATCTCACAAATCACATGTAAGACCCCGAAAATGAGATAAAGGAGTTTAGATCCTAACATATTTTTCTTAAAGTTCTAATGTCCTAAATATCCTTAAAATATATAATATAGGAAGTATCTAAAATATTATAGATATTGGAAGTCAAACGTTAAGGGACGACTAAGACGTTCGACGACTAAGTCACCTAGATGCCTAATATGTGGTTCTATGTATTAATGGGTGTTTCATGATGTTATAATGTTCTAAAATGTATTATTATATGGTTTATAGGCAGTGTGCAAAGTTGGAAGTAATTTGAAAGTCGAACGTCAAGGGACGACCAAGACGTTCGACGACTAGTTGCTTATGTGTCTCATGTGTCTATGCATGCCTAAATCTGAATGAAATTATAATAATAAGTCTTAGCATGGTTTAAAATGATTTTTAATGTTTTTATATGAAGTTTCGTGAAGTTTGAAGGTCAAACGCCCAAGAACGTCCAAGGCGTTCAAAAGATAGCCCCTAAGACGTTCATCGTATGTCATGTTGGGGCCAGGCTGTTTGGACGTCTTATAGGTGTTTGTTTGGGCAGAAATTTATGTGGAATGTCTATAACTTGTAAATATTTATAATACTATTGTAAACATCCGGGTACGACTTCTAAAGAGCCCCAAAAGAAGGACCCAAAGCTGCCTAAGACATTGCTTGGGCAATGTCCATTGAAGGACCCAACGACAGATCGTTGGTCCACCCATGGACCTTAGAGCAGGTATCCTCAAGGGGACTTGACTTGGGCAGGTATAAATCCAATATTTGGCTAAGTACCCAATGATGGAGGCCAGGCACGGCCCGTCAAGGCCACGACGCCCCGCCACTACCTTCACCGCGGGTGGCCTGCAACTTGCAGCCTGCGTCTGTTTCATTAAAGGGGTGAATGGGAAATTCACCTAACGTCCAAAACTGACTATAATAGGTTTATTTAGATATTTTTTGGTGTAAATAAGTCATCAAAAACGTGATCACCCCATTCTAGAATCCTCTCAGAAGATTGAAACATTTCCCTCCAAAAAATACTCCCTCTAGAAACCACCATTATTGGTGAAGCTCAAGAACAGATTAAAAGCTGGGTTTTCCATGGATGAATCATAATTTTTTAGAGGTTTCATCTAGACAAAGGTATGGTGATCTTCTTCTCTAGTTATCTTTTCATCTAGAGAGTCATTCTCGAAAATTTCAAAAGAGGAAAATATGATCAAACACTTTCTTCTTCAATCTTCCAGGGGTTCTTTCCTAAACTGATTTCAAAGGCATAATGTGAATGTATTGATTATTATCTACTGATTTTGGAAATGTCTTTCAATCCAATTGCATGATGAACCCATGCTCTATCACCAAAACGATTAAGCCTTGCATGGGCCTTATGATCTTGATTTGTTTTCGATTGAATTATTATTCTATACGTTGAAGTGATTGTATATGCTGCTATTTACATGAATTCATGTTTTATTGATAATGATCAGTCCATGATGATAAATGTATGAAGATTTGAACATGAATAGCCTATGTTTCTACATGTTGCCTTGAAGTCGATTGTGAGATCGGTTGTGTAGAGTTTTTATAATGGATAAACTGTTGTAGATATTGTTTTAGGGTTATATAATGAATGAATTTTTGAGGTATAAATCCTTAATGATCAAATTAATAAAGTCTTGCATGAATTGATCTCGATTTCTTTAGGCTATGAAGTCAAAAAGCTAAGTGTGTGTGGATCTTGAGTTGTGGTTATATCAAGCTTGGTTTCTTCTTGATTTCCTACCGAATTATCTACTACCTAATGAGTGTATTGTCGATACAATATGAATTATGATCAAAGCATTAGGGAGTTCATAGTAATGGTAAAGTCTTCTATACTCTAGAAAATCGATAAGCCTAAATGCCTATGTTGTAACCTTAATCTTGAGGGTATGTAATTATGATTTCAATGTGTTTAAATGTAGGTTTAGATACTGACTTATACTCATAATATGTATGAACTATGATCTAAATCAATGCAAGGGAAATTAGCTAATGATCTATGTTATTCTGCTTTCCTAGTATGTTGATGTGTTGTATTATGTTGTAGTATAATCTTGTAGCGACTTGTACATAGTTTCTTATGTGTTTTAAGTAAATTTAGCTACTTCCATATATGTGAATTATTGATTAATAAGGAGTATTGATCAATGATGATCAAAGGGTGAGAAATTGGTAAGAATGCTTATTCTCTCTATTCTTCTACTTCTCTATTTCTTTAGAGTAATGTTGATGAAGCCTTGTATGGTATTGTATGGTATAAACCACTTATGGTGGTGGTGTTTACTTTATTGTCATTATATATGTGTTGACCATGGTCTTGAAGGAAAATTGATGAATATATGATTTAGAGATTTAGATGATCACCTTATGATGTAATTGTGCCTATCTTGCTATCTAGTTGTGATCTAGGTTGTGTGGCTATTGTATGAGAATGTATATATTTATGTTAGGGTATTGAATAGTTTCTGCTATTGATGTGTTAAAATGGTTAATAGCCCCTACCCATGTACCCCTTAAATGAAAGTGTAAATAGCTAAAGTTAGGAGCCTTGGTTATAATGTTTATATTGTCTTGCCTCCAATGCTATTATGTGTTGTGTGGTATGTTCTTGGAAGTATAATTTGGTCTAAGAGGGTGGATGCCTCAAGGATTAATTGATACCCATTTATGTGATCATGTTGACCAATGTACACACACTCTCAATCACATGCATATTACAAGTAGTATAGGTCATGGTGTCTAAATGAAAGGTTGTTCTCATATTCATTAATGTCTACTATTATGCATGTAAAGTATATGTATGTGAAGTATGTTATGTATTTCTTACTAGGATGACTTGATTGGTGTACTAGTATGGGCAAGGGTGACTTTGCCTATGCATTGCACATGTGTACCTTGATAGGATAGTTCAAGTTTTGATTTCTATATGTATGAATATGTCTGTATGAACTTGTGTGAATTAATGTGTTATTTGAAAGGTTTGCACACATATATAAAAAAACACACACATGTATGAAGATCTAGTCTAGAGGGGTCCATGGATAGTGTAGGGTTTCATGACACCGAATTCCATGTTTAGCGTCACATGGTCTATATCAGTTAAGGCTATAGATTCCCTAAAGTAAGTTATGTATGGATGATGAGATTCCATTGATACAGAGCCAATTATGAGTTGGGCGCTTAAACCATTCAGCCATGGATGCTTAAGTGAAAATGGAAATTAAATGACTAGGTACCTAAATAGAGTGACTTAAGAGAGGTTACTTAGGATAGGGGGAAGTATTGAACCCATCTAGACATTGCACAAGTAGCTCCTTAGGAAGTTCTAGGAAGGTGTTCTAATGCATGTCGTTGTGCATGTCGTTGTGTATGTGTTCCTTATGCATGATGTGAGTCTTTATGCATGATGTTGATCTTTTTGACTATATGATGAATGTCCTGACTTAACTATGTCTATGTGATATTATACTTCTACGATGGTATTTGTTTTTCTATGACGTTTAGCCTTTGATTGTGTTTCTATGAAGTATGAAAATGATATATGTCCCTTTTAAATGCATGTTTTTGCATGGTTGTCATACTTGGTACATTCTTGTGCTAATTCCATTCTTATCTAGTTTTTACACAAAGTGTAGGTTATGGATGCTTAACGGATGTCTTGAATAATGAAGAGCTTGATAGATGATCTCAAGCTCAATAAAAGGAATCCTTTAGTTCAAGGATCTCCTATTTATGTCTCTAGTGTAAAGTCTTTAAATATTCTATAGTTTGTATTATGTCTTATGGGTCTTGTCCCTAATGTACTCCAAAGTTATTAAGTCTAAGATGGCAAAGAGACTTAGAGTCTATATATGTATTATGACTTATGTTTTATATGTATATGAAGTAAAGTTTCTAGCATATGAGGTGCTATGAAAAGTTCTAAACATTTCTCTAAATTTACTATGTTGATGCGATGAATGATAATTATGGGCTTGTATAAGACCTCCGAGAGGTCAAGTACGCCGTGTTACTCCTAGGGGGTGCTCCCCGGTCGTGACACCAGACAGAAGAGATCTTGAAGATACACAGCATAGAAAAAATGAAATTTTGAAACTTAAGTCATATCACTGTTAAATGACAAAAGTCTCACGTCGGTGGTTGATGAGATGGGTGGACTCTTTATAAAACTTGGGCAATCCTCCTCCTCCCTTTGAGATAAGCTTTTGGGGTGTGAGTTAGGCCTAAGATCTTAATATGGTATTAGAGCAGGGACCATCTCACCCGATGTTTGAAACCCCAAAATAAAAAATGCCCAAGCACCAAATGCTAAGAACTTGGCGTGAGGTGGGTGTTAAAAATTACAAAAGTCTCACATCAATGGTTAATAAGATGGGTGGACACCTTATAAGGCTTGGACAATCCTCCTCCCTTTGGGCTACTTTTGGGGGGGGGGGTGTTAGGTCTAAGATCTAATTTCACATCACAATACAAATCACTTATAAATTGAGGAATATATAAGAAAATTTAGAGAATATGATACACAACCATTAAAAGAAGGTCAATCTAATAGACTTGAAAATTCCTCGAAAGAATTCAGTATATCATTAAGATTGGCTATATGGTACTCGATTTTAGAAGAAGTTGAATCATTCTTTATCCCGATCATCTCAGCAGGAATGAGATAAGAATACTTGTGTGCATTACACTCTCTTCTGGCATCAAACCTCCTGAACCTCGTTTAAAATGAATTAACAATACAGGATCAGAAAACAATATCATTTCAAACTGAATAAAGACATATCATACAGAAGACAGACTAGCAAATGATCAAATGGAACAATATCATGCAACAATGTAATGAAGGAACCCTACTAATCACTAACTAACACAAAAAAAACCATAACTGATACATCATTTTCAAACTAAATTAAGACAAATCAAAGACAGCAGATAGACAGGCAAATCGCACAAATTGACAATTATCATAGAACAATGTAATGAAGGAAGCTCTGTACTACCTACTAATAACTGAAACGACTCAAAAATAATACAAAAATAAACTCCTTTTCTCACCAGTATCAAGGGACCAGAATTTCGTAAGAACCAGTCTGATCATTTTGAGTATTAGAACGCTTTTCCCTTAAATGACACATCCCAAAGCTTCAAAATGTGAATTATAACTTGCGAGAATGGATGACATGGATCCTCAAGGACCTGGTTGTATTTTAGAAAATAATACTAAATACTAGAAGTTATGGAAAAAACAAAAGGTTTAAGCAAAATCAAAATTTGGAGTAAACGAGTTTAGAATCGAAACTTGAAAGCACCTGTAGGTTCAGAAAATGATTTAGGACTTGGTTGGATGGTCTTAGGGGACTAGGGAGTAATTCAAACACTTAGGTAGTAAACTAGAGAATTAAGAAAATAACAACTAACCACGGTCAAATATATGCCTAATGACACTGGATCAGGTTAATAGGGTTTTTTTGAAGTGATTTGCATATTTGGTTTTCATCCCGATGGATTCGGATGTGTTTCGGACAGCAAAATAACAAAAGAGAGACCGATTTTTTTATTGTTGGTGCCATAAATTGTTGTTCTTCACAGTTGTGTGGACAGTGTCGTGGTTGTGTAGGAGGCTAGGCTCATGACTCGTGGTTTTGTGGGCTGGTAGACATAATCGTTAAGGGGCCAGGGGTCATTGTGGTCGTGTAAGGGGAGATCACAGTCCTGAAGTGCAAGGAATCAAGGACCCAGGATCGAGAGAGGGGCATGACGTTCATAGAGAAGGAATTTGGGTAGACTTACGAATACCCAATTCAAACTTACTATTCAAATTACATTTTTGGAGCTCTATATCTCGGATTTTGGCGATTTTTGAAACAATCAACTCTTATTGATAAGAGGGTAAGTATCGTACCTTGATTCTAGTATTTTTCCTATGATTCCTTAATCCTAATTACCGATTTAATCCAATTTTGGTATCAATTAATGATTGGGATTGAATGAAAATTGAGATTTGAGATCGATAGGCTTATGAGGGATCCAATTCTAGAAGATCTTTATGGTTTTGACCTTAGTGGCTCGAAATTAGATTTCTGTTGACCGAATTCTTATCATGTCAACACGGGACTATATCTATAACAATTGTATCCTCCCTCCAACAAATAAGGTGGGGTGGTCTAGGGTATAATCATATAATCGATAAGATCGTATTTTCTAATAGATTGGAAGCTATAAAAAGCATTATAGAAAAGAATGTCCATTCGTTGACATTGTGGCACTTGCTTCAAGGTAAGTTCAGACTTGACCTTCAATAGGGGATAGTTTTCCTTAATTAAACAATTAATGTAGTATATCATGTGTAAGGGTGTGTCGTATAAGAAAGGTCCTGAGAGGTTATGGAAACATCAGGTGACTTGACATATCTTAAGTGCTTAATTGATTTAATTACTTCAATAATTGATATGTAAGAGGAACTTCATGCTAAATTACAATCCAATAATATTGATACCAGATGGGCTATATCTTGAGCTAATTGCATATAAGATGACATGACTACTTTAAAACTCTCTCTATGGAAATTTACCTACCATGTTTCTATCTGGTGTGTATAATCGTGATATAGAAATTGATATCAGACAAGCACATGGAAACTATCTCTACTAGATATGAGTTATTAATCATGAAAAGGTGCATGTTGAGATCATCTCTGATGAGAATGATAGCACGTTGAAATAGTATGCACTGCAAGTGGAGTACGACATATGGACAACCCAGTTCTCCCCCATGAACCATTGGGCTGACCAACCCCAAGCCCATCCAGGTGTACATAGGTTTTGAGGGAAATTGATTTATTTGGTGTTGTCCATGAGTTGCCACTTTACATGACATGCATTGGATTAATATGCACATCTCCATTTGACAGAGTTGATTTGTGCTAAATCCCACCATATTAAATGATTTATTACATATCGATGAGTTATATCATTCTATTTGTCTATTACCAATTAAAGATTATCTTATGTCTAAGTGTGGTCGTAAGCATTTCAAAGACCAACTCTCACCACTACTTTGTCGAGGTCAATGATTTATTGTTCTTTTCACGTATCGATTATTTATTTGTTACTTTTTATTTGTTACATATGGATGATCTATTCTTGTTGCACTGAGCAACATTTACTGGGATACATCATCCAGCGGCACCGATAGAAGTCGAGAGTTTTGTGTAAAAGTCTCAACCGAGACAACAATGAACCAAGGTGATAATTCTTCTCATTTATCTTTTCAATTTACTTCTTACAAGCACAATTTGTCTATTTGGTTATTTACGGTTAAGGAAAACATAGGCACCTAAATGGAGAAATAGAAAGTTTGAACAAGACCACAAAATGAACGACCGAAGAATAAATATCTCGATGCTAACACTTTGCTACTAAACTCCATGAAATTTGACATAGGTAAATCATACTTGTTCTTCCCACTGCTAGGGATGTTTGGGAGGCTTTTATATATATATATATATATATATATATATATATATATATATATATATATACACACACACACACATATATATATATATAGTAAATGCCTCTCTGATTATATAATTAAAACTTAAACTGTGAAATGCTAGGCAGGGAGATGAGAAGTGTTACTATTTACTATACTGAGATGGTTCCCTTATGGAAAGAATCAAATCAATGCTGTAATGAACAACTGATCAGCAGAAAGGATAAGAAAACATGACGGACATAACAGTCTGCACTAAACTGCTTTTGATGCTATGTCGTAGCCTTCCAACTAATGAAGTACATTAGGGAGTATTTTCTTACTTTACGAGATATGCTTGTTTCAGGTCAGCCCAACAAATTTACTTGCTATAACCCGCAGGAAGGAAGGAAATATGTTTTTGTTTTAACTTCTAACCTTAAAATCTGCGCATTTACAAGATTCTTACAAGAAAAGTTACAAGTTTTTCCTCCAAAATTAATGATAATGAAAATTCAATTCTCAACTATGAACAGAATGAACAAAAGTCTCTAGGTAAATGTGCTTCTATCTGTGGTTATCAATTGGACAATAACTAGAGTAACAGATACAGGCTTATTAAGAAATACGAGACAGTAACTAACTTTTTTTAGGGTAGTTTACTGAAAACTCCGATATTTTCTGGAAGACTCGAGTTTACGAAATTAGCAAGAGTGACCCCATTTGGATCATCCTCCCATGCATCTGCACGAATCTCCATTTTTAGAGATATCATTGTCGCCAAAGAATGAACCTAATATGTTTTTTTGAAATAAAATCAGCATGATGGCAAGAAAAGACATACCTTTTAGAGGCAAAACAAAATAAATGGCATGCACAAGTTATTCTAAATCTCTAGCTTACTCCTTTATATGTTCGACTACTTCTCCCTAGCCAATTTTATATAAATTTCCAAAATTACTGTCTCGAATACCACCAGCTTTGAAGATATCTTTTTCCAGTTCACCTTCAAAGGCTGCATTACAGAACTTGCAATGGCTTAGTGAAACTCCACATGACATCTAGACTAACTGAACATGTATACAAGTCAAGTTTTATGCAGCAGGTAAAAAAATAGAGGATTGCTACAGGGAAGGCTAATTCAAGTTATCATACACAAAATATTGAAATAAGTTCCATGAAAAGTTCTCCTCCAACGAAACACATCCATGAAGCAGATAACCCAAATTTACAACTATAATTATACATTAAACCCTGCAAGTTCCAATTCAGTCGATAATATTTTACTATAACACCCCAAATGCTAATTTTCCAAGCAAGACAATCCACCGACCTGGATAAAAATTTCTACGAGTGAATACATTAATCAATCATAAATATCACTAAATAGTCCTGTATTTTAGTATATAAGTCATTTCCAGTCGTACTTCTATGTTGAATATCATGAGTAACATTAAGTGAAACCCAATAAAAGACCACCAAATATCAAGAAATAGTAGGAGTTTGCCACTAGTTATCATAAGTCAAGCAAATCATAAATACCTTGAGAAAAATTTAGGATAAAACATAAGACATAACACTTCCATTCCATTTCTTTTTCTCCTCTCACCATAGAGAAGGTTGGAAGTAATTATTTTTAAATTGCTAACATGGAGAAGGTTGGAAGTTATTGAGAAATGTAAAAAGTTGACTTCTAATACAGGATTATAATTTTCCTGTAAGATCTTTTAAGAACTGAATCATAGTATGCAGGAGAGAAATATCAATTTATTTCAGAAAGTAGCATGTACATAACTGATCATGAGCCCATTTATCATTTTTTAGTAATATATTTAGCCAATGTTAAGTCTAGATTTTGATGAATATTTACATCCGGAGTTCATCTAGTCTCTGTCTCTTGTGATATTCAATTATTTAATCCTCCGCTTTAACTAATGTGATATTCAATTCTTTGATCATTCATATTAACACTTAATCCATTTGGTATATAAAAAGAATCCTCTCCTCCAATCTAAACTCTGGCAATGAGTGGAACAACTGAGGACCATTCCAAAAAATACATTTTAACAACTAATGTGGGACATTTATATTTGTTAACCAGTTCTAGTGTTTACACATAAATTGAAATTCCTTTATTTTCTTTTTTCCTTATTTCATTTTAGGCAAGGGACTTCTGGAAACAACCTCTCTACCTCCGTGAGATAAGGGACATGGACGTACAATTTACACTCCTAGACCTCACTTTGTGAGATTTCAAAGGGTATTTGTAATAGAAGAACGAAGTGACACAATGGGCTGAAGAGTATATTCAGCAGAAAGTGAAGGCTAAATAGTGGACCTAATGCAAGGAGAAGAGCTCAAGAGCCTAAGGAGTATGTTTGTCGTCTATGTTGCTCAGACTCTCCAAAAATGTTGCAGCACCCGTGTCGAATTCTTTAAAAGTGCATAATTTTTGAAGTATCTTACATGCACCTGTCAACATTTTTTAAGAGTCCGAGCAGCATAGCTTGTCGTAGAGTTGGTGTCTCAATGGGCTAAGCTGAGAAGTGGAACTCGAAGCGACTAACAGACTAAAATAAGAGAGAGAGCACAGACATATAAAACAGATGAGAACTAATGCATGTTGTCGACTATGAAAACATGTGAAAAAATTTGACCATTCAACACTCACCAAGAAAATTGAGAATCCAAACCCAGAACAGAACCATTACAAATTACTTTGAGAACACTTTAACATGTTTATTGCAGCAACTATTCTTTGATAAGCTTATGCTCTTTCTCATCGCGTCTGCAAGCTTCATCCAACATTATGTTCCACGATTTGATGGTCATTATGACCAGTGTGTCAGCAGAAAACTTTCTCAAATAAAAAGAACAGCGGAAATTGCTTTAAGAGTTCACCACAAGTTGTCATGTAAATAACTGAAGCACAAAAGGCAGAGGTAGACTAGTCGAAATAAACGAATCTGAAGGCTATAGGTAATAGATCATTTGATCTTGGAGATGTTTCTTTTCAAAGTCACCTCCAAGCACTTATGGCCTCTTATCAAAAAAAGTACCAAGGTTCTTCTGTCACTTACAAGTAGAAACTTCATGCACTCTGAATTGGCACTCTACACCAAGTTTGAAGCTTCCAGTAAGTCAGAGAATCAGTCAAGAAATATAATGATAAGTCAAAAACATGTGGTAGGATCCTCAAGCCCTTTAACTCTTTACTCAAGTAAGCATACACACCAACAGCAAAGAAAGAATTTACCCAAGTGAAAAGTGAAATAACCTAGTAAATGAAAGAGTGAATAAGTGTTTTTGCCTGTACATAAGTAGAAGCCTTCACATCCTAGCAAACGTAGTACATCATGAGATGTGTGGTAAGTGCACATCAATGGTTTAAATTTCGTAAATGAACCACGTTTTATTTGAGAAAGGGTAGGGGCCGAGTTCATTATCTGCTGAGTTAATTTTTTTGAGAAACATTATTATCCATTGGCTTCTAAAGTTGTAATGTCAAATTATCAAATCAACAACAACTATGCCCCTATGCTTCAACCCCAAATAAGTTAGGTAGGTCATATGATCCTCACTGGCCATGTGATGGTGGTGCTCAAGTTTCAAGACCCTTCACTCGTAGCAAAACTAAGGAGCTAAAGGCATCGGAACTACTTATGTCGAAGTGGGGGGCATCAAAGGACCACTTGGAGAAGTCCACTTCATACGACACCTCACCTTGGTAAAAGAAAGATCAAGGAATAAGCTCGGATTTGAAGAAGGAAAAGAAAAGAACTAGAGCAAAATGTCACCACACTTCAAAATGCAGATCTTTTCCTTCCATTCTGCCTTATTTTTTTGCTAAATCCATACAAACTCTAGGAGATTGCAGGTCCCTTAAGATAGTGTTCTTCCACATGATTTTAGATCTACCTTCTTTTTATTTTTATGACAAGGGAAACCCGCAGTCGCTATCCTTTGGGTACGCCAAAGGTAAAAACCCTGATCCTATGCAATAGCACGCAAACCACATAGGAGAGTTAACCCGCACTAGACAAACCCGGTGTGACGAACTCGACCCAGAAGGCAAACCCCTCACACTAGTTCCACACTTACAAATCGGTGCATCTAGAGGTCGACTTAGGATGTGACCAAACCATCTGAAATAACGTTCTCTCATTTTATCATCACTACTACACTGGCAACTTTTACAGGATAGTCATTTTTAAGCTTGTCTAATCTTGTATAACTGCACATTCACCATAGCATCCGCAATTCTGGAACACTTATATATTGTGAATACTTTTGATTTTAGAGACCCAATATACGCTCTCGCACAATATTGTTATTCTTACAGTTATATAAATTTTTCCTTTTACTTCTGTAAATATCCTTTTATCACATATTACTCCGACAACGCTTCTCCATTCAACCATCTTATTTTATTCTTAGTGTAACTTCTACATTTATGTCATTATCAGTCTACTTCAACGTCAAATTTAAATATATTAGTTGTCTATATCTAGGCATCGTCGTCCTAACCCATTACAACTTAACTTCACTCTTCTATGCCATTAATGTCAAGGCAAAGATGTTCGAAAAGAAAAACAATAAAAGATGTAGCTTCCAAAGACAAGTAGAACTTGGGTGCACTAACCATATGTGTGGTAACGAGAATATTTCTCCAACTTGAGAGAAATATTCAGAAACAATGTGAAATTTGGAGATCACTCGAAACTTCCCAAAACAGGAAATGTCAGACCAGAATTTAACAAAAGGGATAGAATTGATTTAAATCCCTTATATACCCTTTTGACCATGCGGAGGACCTACTAACTAAGCATCTGCTAATAGGCTTATCAAGTGAATTAAGGATGTCATGTGCAAAAGATAGAATTTCACACTTGTAGCACAAGTAAGCAAATCATGTTGTCTAAGTTGTGGTGAGTTGGGATCCCTCCACCCTTAACAAAAGGTCTTGGATTCGATCCCTGGGTATGAAAAAGATCATGTTGGGAGCACTGCCCAAAGAAATGGACCCTGTAATGCGCAAATTGGGATTAGTCGAGCTCCAATGCGAGTATTAAACGCCGAGTGGGAACCCAAGGAAAAAAAAACCCAGTTATGTTGAACAGTCATGTTTTACTTCTTATTTTTGGTGAAGTTATCAAATTGTATTAGAAGTCATCAAGGAGATGCATCAGTTACAGATAAAAATTGCTTCAACAATATACAAAACATGAAGCTAACTAAGCAAAAGCCTACAAAGCAACCAAAAAGATACCCCCTTAAACCCTTTTGTGCTAGAATTAGGGAGCAAACAAAATCCAAATATTATACATACAAATTAATGGGGAGAGAGAGTGACATGAAAAGACTAAGAGTCTGTTTGGATGAGCTTAAAAGCTGGTCAAACTGACTTAAAAGTCAGTTTTTGACTTATTAGAGTTTTGACAAATATCAAAATAACTTATTTTAAGTCAAAAATAACTTATTTTAAGTTAAAAGCTAAGTGAGCGGTGCTATTTTTTTCAACTTAAAAGTCATTTTATGTTGACCATGTATATTAATTTTTTACCCTTAATTCTTTTTTTATTATTATTATCATTATTATTATTATTATTATTATTATTAGTAGTAGTAGTAGTAGTAGTAGTAATATTTTATTATTATTATTAATATTTATTTTATTATTCTTTATTTTTATTATATAGTATTATTATTATATATTATTATTATTATTTTATTTATTATTATTATTATTATTATTTTAATTATTCTTTATTGTTGTTATTATAAATTATTATTATTATATACTATAATTATTATTTTTATTATTATTATTATTATTTAATTATTCTTTATTATTATTATTATATTATTATTATTATATTATAATAATTATAATAATAATAAAAATAATTATTATTATTATTATTGTTATTTTCATATTTTATTTTTATTTTTATTTTTATTATTATTATACTATTATTATTAATAATAATATTTTATTTATTATTATTATTATTATTATAATTATAATAATCATTGTTATTATATTATTATAATTATACTAATAAAAATAATTGTTATTATATTATTATTATTTTCAAATCATTACTTTCATATTATTATTATTTTCATATTATAATTATTTATATTATTATTATTATTATTATTATTATTTTATTATTATTATTTTATT